AAAATATTATTAAAGATTAACTATATACGAATGCGTCGAAAAAATAACGATGATTATATGTAGCGATCACCATCGCTAATTTTTCGACGTAAGCCTATAAGTCTTTTCATTTTTCGCAAACACTCCCTTTAGATATGACCACTATTTGCTGCAATGCACCTTATTGGGAATTATTCCAAAATTTCAAGCCTTCGAACACTTTCGTGGTATTTCAACAACAAAAAATTGGAAAAGGTTCAAAATAGATAGGACATTTCATGAGACAGGACATATCATAGACAGAGAAGATTTTTCATTAATATGTAATATTATATAGACAGAAATGAATAAAATCTACATATAGAAAATCTGTTGAACCTGTTTTTTTAGAAGTTTGATATTTCAAACCTAAAGTATTTAATCAGAATTCATATATCTAATTCTAAGGTCAACAGCATTGGGTTGCAAATATATAGGAATTAGAAAATTAGAGTTTGTGGCAAAGACTCAAGTCCTAAGGACATTTTTTTCAATACTTTTTTGATTTTTACTTTATTTCATGTTGTCTGTTCACAAGGCAGTAAGGACTTTTGGAACGGTTTTCTGTGAAGCAGGAATGTTCTGTACTATGTATAAAAAAACATTTAAATTCTAATAAAAGCCCCCCCCCCCATGCCCCCTTCTTCCCATTTGGGGGAGCTCAGTTGATTTGTGAACCAGGAGCAGTATGAGCGCAATTAGTTTAGTTGGACCTGAGAGGTTTGCGCACGGAGCACTATGCGCGTAATTAGTTTGGTTGGGTTTGAGGGGTCTTTGCACAGTATGGAGTAGGAGCAATATGAAGTGAGCTAATCCTGGCTAATTTATTTCATGTTTAAGCATGAAGCACTCTACAATACCCCTGAACTACTAGTATATACTGGCCTACCTAGAGATAATCATCTTAAACTAGGAATGCATTAATTAATCCTCTTCTAAACAGAGAAGAGAGAAAACTAGATAGATAGATAATTCTCGGGCATAACAAAGCATGCTAAACCATACGATTTCTTATAAAGAACCTGAGACTGTTGTGTAAGTCAGCGCTAATCTACAAAACTAGATCTTGATATCTACTGCGACAACTTTTGGATTCGAGGAATAAGTGCTTACTCCTAAAATGAATATATAGGGTTTAGGATATTCCAGGAACTTTGTGTTTTTTGCTATGGCTTGGTTTCGACCACAGGATTTTGAACAGATTAGATTAATCCATCGTAGGGCATCATAACCAATAAATACTTGATCCTGGAATTCATAATTTAAAGTTTCAATCTCTGTTAAGCCTTCCTTTGTCCAATGCTATAAAAATATAAATTTTTAACCTCAAATTACGCGGAAACTGCATTTTTCCAGATGTTTTTATATTTTTTATGTTTAGTGACCGAACCCGATATCAATGGTGCTACAAACTTTAAGATTAAGGGTTTCACGCTTTAAATCTGGGAATTTTGTCCAGCCTGGCAATAATAAGGTATCCAATGTCCAAACTTTACCGTTGTAAATAGGGCATTACCATCTTTGCATGGAGAGTCACTTGAAAGCTTACTGTCCCTTTAAGATACAAAAGTTTCCCACTCTGCCAGGGCTTGGCCAAGTCCGTTTCCAAAAGGGTATCAAATAAAGAAACTTCAAACTACACAAAATTTGGTTTAATTTACATATTAAAACTACATTTGCAAAGAATAAGATTATTTCTATTTCATTCGTTGAAGTGTGATTTTCTGATACAATGATAATCAGAAAACTCTGGAATGTGAAGACGACTTTTAGAATCAAATCATTACTATAAATAGCCCAATGAGCTTAAAATACAGAAGTTGTGCAGTGTAAACAGACTCATATAACTAAATTACTGATTTTATAAGTGTTTCGTAAAATAATTTGCTTTGTAACGACATCACACAGTATTGATATAATGTCGTCTTTCAATTCCGTTTTTTTTGTTACCACTGTATTTACTTTGTTTTATACTAGAAAGGCCTCAAAAATGCTGTGCAAGATTTGGCGAATTTTTGCGCGCTACTTTGTTTAATAATTCCTAAAATTTTATTTTTTTTTATGGTAAATCAATCTCTTTTGCCGCTGTTTTTTTCTGGATCAATTCAATTAAAAAATATTGATGTATATGATACGTGTCGTGAATAAAAGCCTTTTTAGTACAGGATGTCCCACAAAAGTAATTTAAAGTAATTTGCGAGATTTATTCGCATATATTCGCATATATTCGCATATATAGCTAATCTTAGAAGTATAATTCTAGAGTTAATAATCACAAAACACCCTTAGTCTTGGTATTTCCAAATTATAGTCTGCCTTTTTTTGTGCTTTCAATATTACCGTAGATAATGTCCTTAAGATTTCGACAATTTTGGTTTTATTTAATAAAATTGAAATCTGAACCAAATTCTTAATATCTCCGGTATTAATGACAACACAAAAAAAGGCAAACCAAATTTCGGAAATGGCCGGACTAGGAGAATTGGTAGATATGTTTTTAAGAATCATACAAGTTAAAAAGGTTGACGATTGAATGTCACCAATGAATTCAAAGATCAAAGCTGATTTTTATTTCGTCTTGTTACTATTGTCATGTTTCGTGAGACACCCTGTATATGATTAAGTCTTTAAATTTATATCATAGCACCCTAAAGCTCTTCAGATATTATGAGACTCCCTGTATTTGTGTCACAGCTTTATTTATTAACAATAGCAAATGCTATTTTATCTGAAGTTGTGACAACAATCTGCTCAACTGTCCTTCATTAAGATAATTATTAAATATTATTCATTAATTTTGAAAGTTTTATCTTTAACTGAGATTATCACACAATGGCTTGCAGCCATTAGAAAAAATGGAAAGGTTCTATTTCTGTAAATATAGTGCAGTGGTTTTCTTTGTAAAAATTCTCTTCCATTTATATCCTTTTCAAGTTGAAAATGAGATTTTCTTATTTCTATTTATTCCAGGGGGGATTCTGCTCTTATCAATCCTACAGGGGGGATTCTGCTCTTATCCATCCTACAGGGTGGAATTATAAAAGGTGTTCCACAAATTTCCAGTATTATTATAGTTTAGAGTGATTTCAGAAAAAGGAATAATTTATTGTGGAGTATAAAACTGTATTGTGTTCCACAAAGATGTAACCTTTATAGTAGGGTGTGTTCCAGAAAATTGAATCCAACGCAACGTAGTGTTCCAGACAATTTGTGTTTAAGAGAGTTGGATCCTAAATAGTGTTCCAAATTATATCCTACGTAATGTTTCATAGGATTCAATCCTACAGAGTAATCCAAATGATTGTAGTTTTACAGAGGATTTAATCCTACAGTTTTTCAAAGAATTGAATCCTACATAGTGTTCCAGAGAATTGAATCCTAAAAAGTGTTCCAAATCTAGAAAATTGAATCCTACGTTGTGTTCCAGAAAGCTTAATCTTTCAAAGTTTTAGCAAAAGATATTTTCTCTACGGATTCCCAGAAAGCTTCAGTTATTTTCTTAAAAACTCTAAGACGGGTTCCTTGTAAAGTAAAGCATGATATCCGTGTATAGCTGAGAGCTGAACCATGTTCCAAGTTTAATCTGGGGGTATGAGAAACAGGAAAACGAATAAACTAAGTTGAGAAGATCCATTAAACCTTGGAGAGTTCTAATGATTCAAACTTCCTAATTGATTTTCTATATGTGACCCGGTTCTTGGAAAATACATGAGATACTCATTATTCCAGGTTAAACCATTAAACATGCTTATTATAGAGACGTTGACAAAGTACACCAAATATCATTAAAGGGAGAGTTCCCTTATTTCGATATATTTTGCCACTTAAATTAATATCGAATATATTACACTGTATCCCATTAAAAATGATGATTTCAAGACAACTAAAGGACTTTTTTTGATCCCTGACAGCTCTTTAATGACAAAGCGTATATAGTACAGTAAGAACCAGAAAACTCTGGAATAATAAGAAGACGACTTTTAGACTCAAGCTTTGACTTTAGAAAATCCAGTGAACATGAAAAACAGCAATTATGCAGTATAAACAGACCTATTTCACTTTATAAGCGGTGTAATAAGTTACTAGTAAAACTATTTGGTTTGTAGCAATATCAAATACACTTTATATTGCTTTAATATCGTCTTCCTATTCCACAGTTTTCTGGTTCTCACTGTAAAAAGTTGTATTATCTAAACACTTTCCAAATTGAGGTCTTTGTGTTTTTTAAATGAAGAAGACATTTGACGAAACCAATTTTAGTTAAGTTCAAAATACAAATTTTCCATAATCCTGAAGTCCGAACTTTTATGTTGTCAATCTTTTGATAAAATAATTGATTTTTTTCAGACTTAAGGACTGATCAAATTCCTCTTGAATATCCTGTGGTGGCCATACTCTGAAGGGATAACTTTGATTGTGGGAGAAAGCATTTAAACTCAAATTTTACAGTGCCAACATCATGGATATCGAGATCAAGCGTTTAAGATTAAGGGGCATCCTAAAACCAGGTATATTTTTTACTTATTATTTTAATAATAAAGTTAGGCTCACAATAAATATTCTCCAGAAACTATGATGTGATGTGGTGCACACTGTATCTCTAGGGTTGAAGACGACCTTACTTGATGTTTACCTTTGAACAGTTTCCTGTTTTTTAAAAAAAAATTTAGTATATTTCTAGATCTTTTTAATATGTAGTTTAGTTTGAAGTTTGGCCTACTAACCCCCCAACTCGCCTCCTACCCACTCTCCTCCCCCCCNAAGAAATATTTAGCGTTGGGGCCGGACTGGGAGAAACAAAATGATTAAATCCTCCCGCCCATTTTAATTGAAAATTTAATCTTTTCGTCATTGAATATATAAATCAAAACTTAACCTAGTCATATTCTATCGTTATCAGGTCAAAATATCAGAAACCATTAGAAATCTATTGGCAGATTTTACAAAATTTCTTGCGTATAGAATTTAAAATTTAAAAAATGAAAGAGCAGAAATATTTATTAAAACTATTTTATTTCAATAATCTATGAATTTTACACATGGATATCGGGAAAATATCTAAATTCTATTAATACAAACATTGTTAGGTTTTCTCTCTATACTTGCTAAGAATAAAGAACAGGGAAACTTCGCTAGGCCTAATCCTGAAACCTGAGTAATATTTAAACATAGTTCAGAACCATGCTTGGAGTCTTGGAAACCAACAACCAAACATGGTTTAATATGACGTTGAATCCAAATAAAATAAATACATATTTTCTCAAAGATTGGGGTAGAGGAAGATTTGATCGGAACTTTAAATCAGAATAGGTTTGGATCCTACTACCGTACCAGAGTAGGGTTGGATCCTACTACCGTACCAGAGTAGGGTTGGATCCTACTACTGTATCAGAGTAGGATTGGGTCATAATACCGTATCAGAGTAGGGTTGGGTCCTTATACCGGATCAGAGCTGGGTTAGCTTTTAATACCGGATCAGAGCTGGGTTAGCATTTAATACCGGATCAGAGCTGGGTTAGCTTTTAATACCGGATCAGAGCTGGGTTAGCTTTTAATACCGGATCAGAGCTGGGTTAGCTCTTAATACCGGATCAGAGCTGGGTTAGGTCTTAATACCGGATCAGGGTTTTAAAACCAGCTTTCAGATCTGGGTTAGAACCTACAACTGCAGCAAGGATAGTATATAATCCGGAACGTACTTAGAACCTAAGCCGGACATAGTGTGAACCTGCTACAGGAACCTGGTTCGAACTTATCGGTGGAGCCCACTACTATAGAATGGTTAGAACCCACTACTATAGAATGGTTAGAACCTACNGAATTAGAACCTTAACCGATACTTGGGCGGGCTTGTGGCGCCCCTACATCTTTGATTAATAGTTATTACCTACTACTATAGAATGGTTAGAACCTACTATTAGAGAAGGATTAGAATCTACACCGGAATCATGATAAGGACCTTCAACCAGAGCATGGTTAGAACCTACTACTAGAGCAAGGTTAGAACCTACTATTCTGGAGCATGGCTAAAAACAACCACCAGAGCAGGGCAGGACCCAAACCAACCCAGAGAGCAAAACACATGTTGTGAAACATATAATGGATTAATCATCATTGTTCTAATTTGAACCTTAATCTTTAAACAAATGCAAGTCTAGAGAAAATTGAAAAATACGAACTAACACCAACTATAAAATTTAACTGTATAGCACTCTCTAGAACTAACAAACCCATTCTTTCCACTTGTTAAAAACTTATCTTTAGAATGTAAAAAATTGTTTAAAATTAAAGAAAACAGTTCTGGAAGGAAAAAAATATCTTTTTTTAATTTCAAGAAAATGAAAAAGATAAAGAATTAGAGCTTTGGAAAAGTTTAAGTTTTACTCCGGGTACACTTAACAACAAGAGAAAAGGAAGGATTTGTCGGAGAAATATTAACAATATATATATATATATAGAAATATAAACCTTACTTACTATCTCCGGTTTAGCCCTTGCATAGAAACTTTTAACTTGTCAACCCACAAAAGAGGCAGATAAAAAATTAGATAAAAAATTAGATAAAAAATTAGATAAAAAATTAGATAAAAAATTAGATAAAAAATTAGATAAAAAATTAGATAAAAAAATAGATAAAAAATTATCTTGTTTTATTGCAAAATAATGAAAAAGTTGCATAATTGACTTCATATAATCTCTTAAAAAACTGTCTCTTTTTGTAGGTTTTTGCATAGTTGGTTTCATGGGTTTCAAACTTGGAGTTTTTTTTTGCATAGATTCAAGCGATGGTTTGCATAATTTCATCACTGGTTACATCGAGGGTGTATAACAAGGGTAAGGTGTTGGANTTAAGGGGGGAACGTTTTTAAAATAAAAAAGCATCAATATGCAAAGAGGGTAATGGAAAAATTTTAAAATATTTTTAACAATTTATGGCAACACATCATTTACTTCTAAAAAATACTACATATAAATAAATACTTTATCTCCAAAATGGTTTTTCTACAAAATGGCGCTTAGTACACTGCATAGAATAGTTTATAGATAAAAAGGCGTGTGTAGGGGTTGTGAGGGTGCCAGGGGCTTGAGAGTGAATGTCACTAAACAACATTTAGAAAAATGCGGGAAAGCGTGTAAATGTCGTCTTCACAATTTTTGTTAATCCCGGAAAAGCCATATTGACAATTAGACGAGAAGGTTTTCAAGCTTTAAAATGCTAAAATTTAGAAAAAGATAAAAAACATGTATCTACTATATTTTTAAAAACACTGTATGGAGAAATGAGAATTAGGGCTGTATTTGAACTAATTTCAACGGTTAAAAGACACATAAGAATATATGGTCCCTAAAATCCAAGCTTACATCTCATATTTCAACAATTGAAGGGATAACCCAATTTAAAACTGTCCTCCATAGGAAGCACTTTAGAAAAATCTCTATTATTCTAAACATTTGATAATTTTCTCCTAGATGCTCAAATCCGCTGTATCTCATGCAAACTTAACATCGTCTTCATTTGCTGTACAGTGTGAACAGTGTATGGTTACTGATATTAAGTACTTCGCTCATTTTCTCCAACCTAGAAATAATATTTTATTTTTTAACATTTCTTCTCAATTGTGAAAACATTAAAAATAGAATAAAAAATAGATTTTAAATAAACTTTATCTTCTCTTACACTTTTCAACCTGTATTTATTGAAGCACACACTTATCCTCAGCAATCTTTTTGGCGTCTGCAATCGACTTTTCCGCCAGCTTCTGGGCCTCTAAAATTATGAAAAACAATTTAGATTATTTTTTAAAATCTTTTTTTTTCCAAGATGCACTATAACAAATGGCAGGTCTTGAGCTTCCATATAACTGCAAAGTCTTGTCGATTTTTTTTTAAAGAAATATTTAGCGTTGGGCACCCTCAACTAAGCTTTCTGTGAGTGTACTGCAGTAATTTGCAGTACACTGACCGTGGAGAGTGTGGGACTGGGAGAAAAAAAATGATTCCGTGCAACTCTTTTCTTTCTTAGTTATTTTAAAACCAAAGCTGAGTTTAATCTTTGTATAAAGTTTCAGGGAATTGATTAGTTAAATTTAGAATTGAAGTTTCTACAATATTGAATAATTTGAAAATCAGCTTTCAAACTTAAAGTTATTGTAAAAATAAAATTGAGCAGATTTCTTTTGTATTGTTTACCAGAACATATTAAATTTTCTTAATAGCTTAGTTATTCAACGGAAAAATTATTTATGATTTATCTATAATTTGGAATTGAACTTTAAATATAATACTATACAATAAACCGATAAAAAAGTTTATTGCATTTTTCGCTAAGACATTACTGAAGTCAAATTCTTGACCAGAGTAAACTAGATCAGATAAAAAAGTTTATTGCATTTTTCGCTAAGACATTACTGAAGTCAAATTCTTGACTGGAAAAAAGGTTTCCAGCTCCTTTTTCTGTAAATACAGTTCTTTTACTACGAAAACAATCTTTTGATGTTGAATTAATTATATATGAAATTGTACAACAATTATATCGTTTAAATGAACTGTAAAACAATTTAATTAAAATCATTGCAGAACAGATGAAAATAAACAGGGATGTCGTCTTTGAAAATTCCCTGGATTTTATTTTTAAACATGCAGTGTTTTACTGAAGTAGCACAAGATGCATAATTGACCCGGCCTGAGCCCGAAATTTAAAAGAGTATCGCTGGACAAAACTCCCGANGGCCGGGCCGGGCGTTTGACAATTCGCAGTACACTGTACACATTATTTGTAATGCACACAACACAATATACACTACACAATGAGCCGACTTAAGATATCTTTGCGCTACATTACTTTTTTATTGAGCTTAATAACAAGAATAACTGGAGAGAAAACATGTACATAAAGAGAGTACCACAAAGCTTGACATTATAGCGAGACTACTCAAAGATCGTCTTTGATCTTTGAAATTATTTGCGGCATTCGTTCGTCAACCTTGTTTCACATGAATATCATAATCATAACTTATGAAACAACAATCAAAAAAGTCACAACATTCCAAAATGTGGTCTACCTTTGTGTGCTGTCAATATTGATTGAGAATTTCGTTCAGATTTCAATTTATAAAATAAAACCAAAATTGTTGAAATCCGTAATTTTAAAAGCCAAAAAAAGGTAGACCCATTGAAATATCCAGAACTAGGAGTATTTTGTGATTATTATTTATTTAACTATAACTGATTATTAATTTACTAGAATTTTACTTATAAACTTAAATTTACGAATACATGCTGCAAATTGTTTAGAAAATCAAAGACGACCTTCAAGTCGTCTAACTAATGTCATTTTTCGTGGGACACCCTGTACATTATCTAAGAAATTCACGAAAATCCAGAAAGTCAAAACAACTAATATAGTAAATCCATTACACGCTTTGTTGTAGCGGGTCAATCATAATTTTTTCAGTGATTTGTTCTCTAAAAACAATCAAACCAAAAAAATAAACAAATCAATAAATCAAGTTAAAATTAAAACACAATAAGATCAAGACAGAAAAAGCTGGATAAAGAAGGAAAAATGTTCAATAAACAAAATAGAAGACGACCTTTATCTCACCAAATTTGTTAAATGTTTCAAGGCCAATGCCATAACTGTCTTTAATTCAAAATGGGATGAAAGTGGAAAAAGCTTAACTTCAATATGGATAGTCGATAGAATTATGTTGATTATGCCTGTTCCTTAGCAGTTTTCAAAATAGTAATGATTTTGCAATTTTGCAAGTAGGAACTTATTGATGATGTATGCAAACTTTGCAAACTCGAAACTTTTCAAATATTTTCCAATTCCTTGAAATATATTTCATAAAATGGTTGAGGAATTATAAAAATAGAAATAAAAGCTGGTTGTCTGTATCTGTCCTCCTGTTCTGTTTATTCTTGTCCTGTCTAGTGTTTACCATCAAACACTGATATAGCAATATACACTTTTACTGCATTAATAAAACATGTTGACAGTGTGCTAAGTGCAGAAGGATGAAATAATAACTGATTAGAACTTTTTAACAAGTTTTTTCAATTCATAAACATATAGGTAAGAAATAATTATAATTGCAGCGGGAAATCCGTCATGGTGGATTTTTGGTGGAAGGTTTAGTGGAGAAGTCGTCTTTCTTCAATTCTTTATTTTTATCGGTTAGGTTTTGAAACCACTGAAGTTTTTAACTTTATTGTTTGAGTTTAAGAATGTGAGCCATAGTTTCATTTTTACATGGAGGAAAAATCCTAACCGAAAAAATAACCGAATGGAAGTTGCATTTGAGAATGAGAAGACGACATTTACTTCAAAGCTGAAAATGCGGCAAAAAGATGAAAATTACATTTATTTTTATCCTCGTAGCAGCTTGACTCCTAGGGTAGACATTAACATTTATATTTTTTCTTTTTTTTCTTTAGTTTTAACTCTCCCAAGGTTTAATCTTCTAAAATATTTTCCAAGATATGAAAATGTCGGAGCAACAAATTAAAAGTTTTACATTTTTCAGGAGCTAATCTCTGAACAATAAGTTTGCTTTTATAAGTAGATTTACTTTGAAAAGAAATTAAGTTGTCTCAGCTTTATTTCCAGAAAGTCAATCTCACAAATTAATGAAAAATCTTTTTTATGCTGTACAGTGTACATTGTCAGATAGACCTATGTACTCTGTACAGTGTACTGTGTACACCATTATTCATCTGCAGTATACAAGTTTATTGTTTACAATGTACACTAAAATGCAAACGTAAAACTATTGTTATACATGTTCGTGATTTGTGTACAATTTAAAAAATGAATACATGAAAATTCATTTTTTTCTACATTAAAATTCAAATAGTATTTTTTTTAAATCTTTTTTTTCCAATTAATAGTTTCTTAAAATTCCACGGGCAATTCAGCTTGTATTGTATAAATAGAATTTAATGAAAAACAAACACTTGTATAATCCTATATCTCAGACCTTCTCCATTGTAATTAGTTTTCTCATTTAAAAAATGAATTACAATATAAAGTTTTCTTATTTAAAAACCTTAAGAATAAAGTTTAAAAAGAGTTTCAACGTTAAAGACTGACAGAAACGATTGACAAATATTATCTTGTTTTATTTGAAACATTTGCTACATTTTCAGAAATCAACTCGCAGATTTTCTTTTTTATTTAAAAAATACAAAAATCGCCGAAAACTGTGTTCTCTTTAAAAAGCATCGCTAGACAACAGCTTAAAGTTTACCGGAGAATTGTACCGTTATAATGCAATTGATGATGGCATACAACGGGGTACCAGGGGGGGGATCAGTAATAATAAACCACTTATTCGAGTCAAAAAGGCTCGATCGCTGGAGTATTTTTTAGGAAGAGAAGTCTCTATCTAAATCATCGTTATGTTGTGTTGAAGATCTGGAATATGACGGGAAACTGGTAATATCCGTGAAACTCTCAAAATGGGTATTTTATACACGAATCAGAGCCTTAACCGATACTTGGGCGGGCTTGTGGCGCCCCTACATCTTTGATTAATAGTTATTAGAATCTATTTCTATACCTATATTATCCTAAATCCGTTGTAATTTTGTGTAAAAAAGCATAAAGTATATGATTTTTTCGAAATAGTTTACTTTAACAAAGACTACATCTAAATGAATTGCGGGTTTACAGGTTCAATACAAGGATAAATATATGAACGGGAAAAGTAATTTTAAATTGAAATCATCATAAATCAATGTGAGCTACAATTGATACAATGTTTGTAAATGAAAAGATTATAAGAATATATTTATTTTGTCCATTCTTACCATTAAACACAAGACAAATGCATTTTAAGTGGAGTATTGTGACAAAAACCAGTCACCCCCCCCCCTAACCCCCTAAAATACCCCACCGTGTGATACTCTTAATTTCTAGGGGGGCACAAATCCCGTTGATTTTCACATAAAAAAATAACATAATTTTCTCTTTGAAAATAGATTGTTAAAACAAATTATTGATCATTACTGATTGAAATAGTATCGTTGTGAATTGGTCCAGCCCCCTTTTTAAATGAAGGGTCACTTACAAGAGTCCGTTTACAAGGGTTTTAAATCATTTTGAATCTATTAAACAGAAAAAGTTTATATATTTTAGGTTGGCATTTGTTTTTCATTTAACTAGGGTTAACCACTGCTCTTTTACAAAATGCAATATAACATTTTCACAAAGAAACGTGCTATAAGAATCTTTAACAGACCAATACTTTATTATTTACAAACGATTTTGAGTAAACTAAGATACAAAACCTCCCAAAAAAATTTTACCCCGAAAGCGTACTGCATATTTGATGTTTGTACTAAAGTCTATATCCTATATTAGTAAACCGTCTTAAGTGTACACAGAAGCTAAATTTAGTAAACCGTCTTAAGTGTAACTGAAGCTAAATTGCTACAATCTGGCTACAATTCGCCTTGTTTAAAACGCATACATTTTCCTGCCGTAGAAATACGCAAATCGTTTTCGTAGAGAAACAACAATTGAAAATAATCAGATTTGAAAACTATAAACATTGATATCCCGATTCCAGATTCTGCTTTATCAGACGAAGCGTTCAGGGGACCTTTTGTGAATCGGGCAGTGTCATCTTTACGTACATGAGGGGTCTCAAGAAAACTTCAATCCTTTCAATATCACTAAATGTTAAAATACAGATTGTCGTGATCTTTAAAATATCCTTATTTAGACTTAAGAATAGACCTAATTGTTTCTTACATAACCTTTTCTAGGGTACTTGTAAAATATTCAAATTAAGACTCATTTCGAATTTTGCAAACAATCCCTTTAAAATATTAGCTTGAAATACTTACGGGCTACAGGGTCGTCATCATCCTCCTCCTCCTTCTTCCTGGCTCCGAACCCGTCCTCATCATCCTCGTCCTCCTCCTCCTCCTCGTCGTTTACAGGCTTCTCCAGCTTGTACTGAAATAAAATCATCATTGTACACCTGAACCCAAAACTTAAGACAGGGTATCGTTATGAAACCAAGTATCGGAAACCGGATTTCACAAATGGTGTAAAGGAATTTTGTAAATATTAAAAAACTTTGTGAGTTACAGATTATACAAATGTACAAACCCCAAAAAAGGAAACTCTGGAGTTTTAAATTTATGGCTCTGAGCCCAAAACTGAATTTTGATATTAGTATATTTTTAATAAATAATATTTCATAATTTTATATTCTCTCTTTATTTTCTTTTTCTTGATGTAAATCTGCACTAGCTGTATGTCCCAAAAAGGAACTCGAGAGTTTCGTTCAACGATACTCTTTCAAATTTCCAGATTCCCTCCAATTTTATTTCGCTTTCCAGTTACTCTCTTGTCTCTGAAAACTCGATTCACTCCAAAAGAAATTGAGTTTTTGTCACAGTTTTTTTCTGATCTCTATATCTTTTCAACCTGATGGATATTTCAAACTCAGATCATTTATAGTTAATATTTTTGGTTGTAATGATTAGAAAATAAGAGTTTGTGTTAAAGCCTTAATTCCTTTATTTCTTTTTACTCTTTTGTCTCTGAATGAGAAAAAATTGTTCCAGACTTGTATTGGCATTCATTGATAAATCAGAAAAATATGGAAAGATTATCGTCTGCGTTCTTTCTTTAATGTCTTAATAGATTTTTTATGTGTATCTATATAATATTCATTTATATAAAAGTTGCTGGACCGATCGGGCTGAAATTTTTTGTGGACACTCATGCGTGGCCAGGGGGTGTTATAGGCTAAACAACATTCGAAATTTAAAAAAACGCCGGCCCTTTCAACTAGTTGTATATATATCTGAAGAAGTTCAAGGAATATTTTTGTGCAATTTAGTTGTATTTGGTGAAATTTATAATTGAAAGTAAGAACTAAGACTACGATCATTCCTCATTCTTTTATAAAAGTTAAAAAGAGCAAATATTATTTATAAAAGTTAAAAAGAGCAAGTATTATTTATAAAAGTTAAAAAGAGCAAATATTATTTATAAAAGTTAAAAAGAGCAAATATTATTTATAAAAGTTAAAAAGA